GTCGCAAGGTTTCCAAACTTCCTGGAGCCTTCGCTTTGTCTTATCACGCGAGACATCAAACAAATATTTTGTTTCCCAATGATCCTTTGGTGTCAGGTTTCTAGAACTGCTATAATTTCTGCGCCGTATTTTTCCCTTCCGTTAAATCTACGTGCCTAATCATTCCTGACTTGTTTCGTCTGTTATTTCCTCTTCACCGTTGGCAACGCCGAAAGTACCTTTGATCTTACTCTTTTCGCACTCATTAACCTCTCAAACATCAGCCACCATGTTGAAGATTTGGTCTATGGTAAGTCAACTATTCGTCGCAGCTTATTGAATAGCACAGTCTAATCTTGTGTATACAGAAATCAGCCCAACAAAAGGCGGACAATGCTGATGGTGCCGGCGGAAAGAAGAAAAAGGTCACATCTGCCCAACTACGGGTGCAGAAAGGTTAGCTAGTAATGCTGAATCATTTTGATCGCCGAATGATCTAACTTGTCTGAATACAGATCTTTCCGAACTATCCCTAGGCTCGACCATGAAAACCATATTCCCCGACCCTGATGACATTCTCAACTTCATCCTCGAAATAACCCCTGATGAAGGCATCTACCACGGCGGTCGTTTCACCTTCACATTCACCATGGGCCCGAATTACCCCCACGAGCCGCCCAAGGTACGCTGCCAACAGAAGATCTACCACCCCAACATCGACCTCGAAGGCAAGGTGTGTCTGAACATTCTGCGCGAGGACTGGAAGCCGGTGCTCAACCTGAACGCTGTCATCGTCGGCCTACAATTTCTGTTCCTCGAGCCGAACGCTTCAGATCCTCTCAACCAGGAGGCCGCGGACGATCTGCGATCAAGCCGAGATAGTTTCCGGCGAAACGTGCGCGTGTCTATGGGTGGTGGCTCGATACGAGGTGTTCCGTACGACCGCGTAAGAAATGAATAAAATTAAAACTACCTAATGAAGGTAATAAAGCTAAAGGACAACCTGCAGGTGCTCTTTAGTAAGCCTTGAGAACGCACGACGGACCATCTGCCTACAGACTGGACATGTTTCAGTCTGAATACCAGGCTTGTCGACACCACTACCCTGGCATAATCTAAACTCCGATTCATAGCGAATCGGTTCTAATGGCGGGCCTCTACCATTTGGTTCAGAGGAAGATGACGGAAAGAGAACAAAACGAAGCATTAGATTGGCTTGACAGACGACGACACATAGCAAGGCGTTTTCGAGGGACTGCATTTACTTCAAGGCATGAGGAAATCACTGTCCTACGGCCCTCTGTCTTGTAAATCTAATGACGATGCACTTTGATGGTCAGGCATGGACACATTGCATAGACGGCGATAGCAATCGACCGCATCGGATAGATAGGTGCTAAGTACATGAAATGCAAACGAGATTCTATAAAATTTCCATGCGTCTTAACAATTTCCTGATATTCTTTAATCTACGTATACCAACTTCTCTATATATACATACATGTATGTAGGTATGAACTTTTATTGTCACGCCTATTGTAAATTGTGCCATTGCTTGTTGTTTGCCATACTTCAATATTGATCGCAAGGGATGTAATCGAAACAAGTACCTGTACTATAGGAGCTATACACGCAACCCTATAGTTTCAACAGCGTCATTTGTACCTCTACCGCATGCACCCCAGCGGCCCACCCTTACCTTGGCCGAATCGGCAGGTTCTACCCCACCATTGGCTGTAGGCTGTTGATTGATTCGACTCACCGCCGAAGTCGCACACCAAGCTCTTTGAGAAGTTTGGCAGAAGCTCCGAGACCCTTGAAAAATTAAAAAAAAAAAAAAAAGTCGTAAAAATTCTCTGACTCGCAGAAAGCCCAAGTGCATTTATAGAACTTAGTTATAACCACTGAGTTTTTGCACTTCCCTTCACCTTAATCTCCACTCAAATATATCCTTCACGATGGCTTCCAGAGGGTTTTCTAAGGCCATTCGTAGCCAATTGGCCCGCCGGGTGGCTTCGCCCGCTGTTCAGAGACGCTCGTTCGTCGTTGCGTCGAACCTCGCCCGAACCACCGCTAAGGCCCGCCCTGCACTGGCTGGCGCTGTTCAGCAACAGGTCCGTGGTGTCAAGACCATTGACTTTGCGGGAACACCCGAGGAAGTCTATGGTAGGTTCAATTGGTTGGCATATAAGCGATATCAACTACTGACGCTGCTTTATAGAGCGTGCCGACTGGCCCAAGGAGAAGCTTTTGGTAAGTACTTGATGCCCAACCCGAAATATTCAAAGAAATATGTCAGCTAACGTATTCTAAAGGACTACTTCAAGAACGACACCCTCGCCCTCATCGGCTACGGCTCGCAAGGTCACGGCCAGGGTCTTAACCTTCGTGATAACGGCCTGAACGTCATCATCGGTGTCCGAAAGAACGGTCAATCGTGGAAGGACGCCGTGCAAGATGGCTGGGTTCCCGGCAAGAACCTCTTCGAAATGGACGAGGCCATCTCTAAAGGCACCATCATCATGAACCTTCTCAGTGATGCTGCCCAGAGCGAGACCTGGCCCGCCATCAAGCCCCAGCTAACTAAGGGAAAGGTGCGCTAGTATGAGTCACCAGATCTGGAGGCAAAATGCTGACCAATTTACAGACCCTGTACTTCTCGCACGGTTTCTCCCCTGTCTTCAAGGACATCACCAAGGTCGATGTTCCCAAGGACATTGATGTCATTCTCGTTGCCCCCAAGGGCTCTGGCCGAACTGTCCGATCTCTCTTCCGTGAGGGCCGTGGTATCAACTCCTCTTACGCCGTCTACCAGGATGTCACTGGTAAGGCTGAGGAGAAGGCCCAGGCCCTCGGTGTTGCCGTCGGCAGTGGTTACCTCTACAAGACCACCTTCGAGAAGGAGGTGTACTCCGACTTGTACGGTGAGCGTGGTTGCTTGATGGGTGGTATCCACGGTATGTTCTTGGCCCAATACGAGGTTCTCCGAGAACGTGGACACTCTCCCAGCGAAGCCTTCAACGAGACCGTTGAGGAGGCTACCCAGAGCTTGTACCCCTTGATTGGTGCCAACGGTATGGATTGGATGTACGAGGCCTGCTCTACTACCGCCCGACGAGGTGCCATTGACTGGACTCCTCGATTCAAGGATGCCTTGAAGCCCGTCTTCAACCAGCTATACGACTCCGTCCGAGACGGTACTGAGACCAAGCGATCGCTCGAGTACAACAGCCAGAAGGACTACCGACAGAAGTTTGCGGCGGAGATGGATGAGATCCGCAACATGGAGATCTGGAAGGCCGGCAAGGCCGTAAGGTAAGAACTGACCCTCCTGGGTTTCTCTAGGTTTACTTTCATGGCAGTACATCGACGCTAACATCTTGATTTATAGATCTCTCCGACCCGAGAACCAGAAATAAGTGCATTTTGGCGTTTTTAAAAAAATTAAAGGTATCGGGACGGTAAGCTAAACGGCGAAGGCATATTCCCCGGGGGGTCAAAAAAAAACACGAGAATCTTTGTACATGTATCCAGGATTCCCCAATATCATCTCACGAGGGTCTTAGGGGGGGGGGGGGGGCGATGCAAAAGTTGCTCTAGTTGAGTTATCAATGAAACTATAATGAATTCATTTTAAGTATTTCGATGTCCATCTTGCGTGCTTTCTCCGTTATCGGACCATGATAACAAATCGTAGATTTTTGACTGGTTCAAGCCTGGATCTAGGGTTAGACTCCAACTACCTACCAAGTTCAACGCTGTATGTACTCTTAGCATAACTTGGTCTGCTTGGGAGTTGCCAGGGAAGGATTTGGATTGGTCCCTTATTTGCATAAACTCTATAGGACTTCATTACTCTCATTCGCTCGCTCACGTCCTGTTATTTGCTCAGCTCAGCTCAGCTCGCTTGCTCGCTCCCACCAGGACTAAACCGCTTGAATTACAATGGCCGACCCGTCCACGTCGCCGCCGCTAACCCGGGCCTCGGTGGCGGCAGCCCGGGAGCTCATCAAGCCGTTCGTCCACCGGACGCCCGTGATCACGAGCTCCTCGCTGTCGGCGCTCGCTTCTGAGCCAACCCCTAGCTCGGATGGAGAAAATAGCAAGGCCAAGCCCAAGTTAAGGCTGTGGTTCAAATGCGAGAATTTCCAGAAGGTCGGCGCGTTTAAGGCTAGGGGCGCGTTCCATGCTATCGAGAGGCTGAAGATGGAGCCCGGTTGGCTCGCGGGAGGGGGTGCTGAGAGGGGCGTTGTTACGCATAGCTCTGGTTGGTGTTTAAGTTCTTTTATGTCATCGCCGCTCTTTTCGTCTTTGGTTTGAGACGTAGATATTGTCCCGGTTGAGTGCCTTCAGGGGTTGGTAAGTTGAGTGTGAATACCTTGGCTAGGATGGATGAGACTGTTTGCGCAAAAGAGATTTACGTTCTGTCTTCCTACCTACCTACCTATATAGCAATTGTGCTCTTATAAAGTTCATCGTGAAATTTCAACTAACAGACCAAGGGAACCACGCACAAGCGCTCTCACTCGCCGCGCGGACCAACGGCATACCGGCATACATCGTTATGCCATCAATCTCAGCGCCGCCTAAGATCGCCGCGACTAAAGGATACGGCGCCAACGTGATCTTCAGCGGCAGCACAAGCATTGAGCGGGAAGCCGTCACGATGAAGGTTATCGAGGACACTGGGGCCCGCCTCGTGCCTCCGTATGACCACCCGGACATCATTTTGGGACAGGGCACTCTTGGGCTTGAGTTTCAAGAGCAAGTCGCTGCTTTGATAGCCGAAGAGGCCGAGAAGAAGCACGAGAGTGACGTCGTAACAAGGAAGAGTAGAAGAAAGAAGGGGCTTGATGCCATTATTGCCCCTTGTGGAGGTGGTGGTAGTAAGTTACCCAAGTCTTCCAGAGTCGTTCCTTCCCTCTTTTCAACTCAGTCCCGGGAATTCGCTTGGCCCCTCCTACCTGAAGTTTGTTCACGGTACCAATGATATAATTCATCCTGATAACAAATACCATCACTGCCTAGTGGCCCAGTGGTCAAGGCGTCTGACTGTTATTTCACAGAAAATCAGAAGATCCCTGGTTCGATCCCAGGCTAGGCAGTTTTTTTTTTCCTTTCCTTATGCAACCCCCCAATTCCCTTCCACCCCCATTAACCTACGCTATTTACTCCTTCTATTAAATACGCAGATAAACAAACCCTAACTTTTTACAGTGCTCTCCGGCGTAGCCCTCTCCTGCGAAGGCACCGGGATCCGGGTTTTCGGCTCCGAGCCCTCGTTCCAAGGCGCCGACGACGCGAAGCGGGGCTACGAGTCGGGCGTCCGCGTCGAGGCCGTATCTACCCTGACCATAGCCGACGGTCTGCGCACGCCCGTCGGCAAGGTCCCTTGGTCCATCATCTACGAGCGGCGCCTCGTGAGCGGGTTTTACAGCGTGAGCGAAGACGAGATTAGACGCGCCCTACGACTCGCATATGAGCGTCTGAAGGTCGTTATTGAGCCTAGCTCTGCTGTGCCTCTTGCTGTGGCTTTGTTTAATGAGGACTTTAGGGCAATGGTGGAGAGGGAGGCTGGTGAGGATGGTTGGGACTTGGGGATCGTGTTTAGTGGGGGGAATGTCAATTTAGATGTTTTGGGCAAGCTGTTTGCAGAGGAGAGTACTGAGGAAGTGAAGTAAGTATACAAAATAGAGGTCATTTGAATATAGGTCATGTTTTGGTCAGTATAAAAACATAGGTTAGGTACCTGTATGTACAGAATCAATTATGGCATGTCGATTGTATAAACAACCTCCTTCCTGTCTTGAGGGAGAATCTTGATGCTTGCTAGCAACATCTATATACCAAATAAACAACGCTATGCAACCAATTAATCTCCCCATTAACATAATTTGGTATATGCAATGAACTCAATCTAAACCGCGGTATCTCATCAAGTCGTAAATAACGTCTCTTACCCCCCTACCGATTAAAAGGTAGGTAGGTAACTAATGTAGCTAAGCTCACTTATTGAGAGCCTTATCCATCTGCTCCCTCCATTTCCGACTATTCTTTCTTAGGAACCAGATAGCCAAGTTCCCGCTCAGCCAAGAAATCAGTCCCACCATGGTCATCAGCCATCCGATTCCCATAGCATCAATCAGAGGTTGTCCCACAATACCGCCAGTACAGCTAAAGATATTCCTCACGAAGTTGTTAAGAGCAACACCGCTACTGCTCCTCCGCGGCATGAACTCGGTGAGCATGGTGGTGGCGGCGCTAAAGACAAGCATGCTACCGACGCCGAAAAAGAAGTTGGCTACGGACGGGGCTGCCCAGTGGATGCCGTATTGGAGCGTCCAACCCGACCAGATTAATGCACCGGGATACAGCGTCGCCGAGATCCACGCATTTTCGCGCATACGATCCTCGGGGAGATAGATGAGCTTCCCGTTCGCGTCATATCGCTGGGCTTTTTCTGCCGCTCGCACCATGATTCGGTCAATCCAGCGGCCACCCAGCATTGATGCTGCAAAGTAGCCCAAAGAGCTGGGCAGATACAACAACCCTATGATAATCGCCGAGTAACTGTACGGCGCTTGCGAGAATGCCGACTGAAGTGAAATGTTCAGAACATACAAGGAGCCGAATGTAATGGCTGCGTAATAGACCGTTATTGCTACGGCAGGGAAACGAAGGTACATGATGACTTCAAGCGGATCAAGGAAGCATCGCTTCAGCCACGCTGCCGCATTCTTGGTGTATACCTGCACAGAGCGCGCGGTAGAGACGCGTGATAGATCATTTGAATGTGGTGTTTCCACGGGGGCCGCGGGTCTACGCTTCGCGAGAGTTTCTGGCACGCAGAATAGAACAAGGACAAACACTACAGCGCCGTACGCAGTGAGGAACCATACGGTACTTCTCCAACCAAACCCTTCTGTAAGGGCGCCACCAATAATGGGGGCGAGGAGTGGACCCATCAGAGGACCCAAGTAAAAATACCCCATCGCACGACCGCGCTCACGAGGCTCCCAGATGTCGGCAATGGTTCCGGCTCCGACAGCCTGGACGCTTGCAGCTGCTCCACCTGATAAGACGCGGAAGACGATCAACATGCCAATATTAACACTGAGACCGCTTAATAGGGAGAAGACGACATTTAGGAAGAAGGACGAGAGATAGATATTACGTCTTCCTAGAGTTTCGGAAAAGGAACTCCACCACAGCGGGAATATTGACATTGCTAACATGTACAGCGCTACTGTCAAATTTACCACAGTTGGTGATGCTTGGAGATCCCTAGACATGTCCGGAAGGGCGGCTAATACGATTTACGTGAGTCCTCTCTTGCTCCTTTGCGCGAACGACCAATCTACAACGTAATAAGAGGAGGGTATGTGTTTGCTTACGGTAGAAAATCGCTGATCCCATCGGCGCAGCACATGCCGCTAACGCTATGAAAGCTGTAATTGTCCACTTGACTTTGTTTGGATACTCATAGGGTCGCTCGACTTCTGGGACGAGTGTCAACTGCGCAAGGAAGCCCCGTCGTTTTAATCTTGGCACTATTGTCAACGGTCTGGACCGAACAGACGAAGCTTGCGACCTAACACGTTCCATTGGCGTAGTAGCCGCAGCTTCTTCGTCGACCGGGATGCCATTTGGGGTCAGAAGCTGTTCAGGGACAGCATCTATGGATCTATCGTCTCCATCCTGGCTTGTGGCGCTAATAGATGCAGCAGCATCTTCATCTTCAGGATGTTCTCCATTGAAGTCAATGGCTTCTGACTTTTCGTCCACCTTCTCCGGGTCAACAGCCATACCCAGAAATTTCTCTGCTTAAAGAGTACTGATATTTCTTGGTAATAAATCTGTGTTGGACCGGCAGTTCGATAACCGATATCGGTGAGCCGAACATATATCAGAGTAGTAAAGACGTTATGAGATAGCTGGGTAGTCAATGAAATACCAACAAGAGTACGACTTCGCAACCGTACGGTATTGACTTCCTGTACTGAAGTGAAAGGTTGCTAAGGTGATAGAAGCCCTTCCAGTTGAGAATTAGGAGGCTGGTGCAGCAAAAGGGCGTAAAAGTAGAAAAATAGAAATTGTCAAGGGGGGTGGACAAGGAAAGATGAGGCTAGCACCACCACTCACAGTGGACCAACACCCCTACTGGAAATAAGCTTGTCTTTGAAGCGGTTCGACGACTCACTGATTTAGCTTTTGTGGAGAAGGACTGCAAAGACCGGGAGTTGCATCTGCACGCGAAATGCCGAGAAACCCGAGATCGTGACCGCGGGTCAGTGATTTTATTTGGTTAGTGGTTCCGATACGCCAGACCTTAGCCGGCAGGATATGTGATCCTCCTCGCGTAAGTGAGAACGTTGCAGCATGGCGTTCACCCGGATACCAATGCGATCTACATATACATGTCTGTTCCCATCGGATAAGACTAACTAACCTACCTACCACATCTCACATCCATGTCCGTGAAATATATTGGCTAGGAAAAGCCCCGAGCAGATTTTCGTCTCATGTTGAATTATGGATGTCTGAACAATGCTGTCGTTCTCCCACAATGCAAGGTCGTGTATCTAGGCTGTGTAACGTCTGGGCCGGAGCAAGATTCGGGGCAAATTGATCACCCGGAATATGGTAGCCGTCCGAGCGGTGACAGCTATGGCCTGTTGGAAAAGAAAAACCCACCTAGCGGTCAATGCAGTCAAACAGGCCATTAATCGAACGGAAATCCGAGAGTACTTTTATTTTGATAAAGATAAAATAAACGACATCCTTGAGGTCATGTAACATTGTGGTAGTTAGAGAGTACCATGGACTAAATGGAATCAATCCTAACGGTTCCAATGTGACCCTAACGGTTGCTCGGCCCCACTGTGGCTAATGGGGGTCATGAAATGAAATTCTATAGCGGGGTTGACCGTCAATAACCGCCATCCATCGCACTTTGACGCCATTCGACTTCCGATATAGGCCCAAGCCACTTTGCTCCGTTTGATATCTTGAGAAGCCATGTCTCTGACAAACGCTTCTCCTTCAGAGGCTGCGAGAGCAGCGAAAGAGGCATCACACGTCCTCGCCACGCTGTCCGAATCTGATAGGAATGATGCTTTGACAGCCATTCACGCTGGCCTAACTGCGGCCAAGGATGAAATCCTGGCAGCCAATGCCCGAGATCTCGAAGTTGCGCGCCTAGCAGCAGAGAGTGGTCAATTAAGTCAGAGTTTGGTTTCTAGACTAGACCTCGGGAAGAAAGGAAAATGGGAGGACATGTTGAAAGGAATATTAGACGTTCGTAGTCTTGAGGATCCTGGTGAGTCACTAACCGGGTTAAGCCAGATAAACTCTCGACTGATTACATAAAAGTTGGCAAGATTACTTTAAGGACCAAACTTGACGATGGGCTGGAGCTGACCAGAGTCACCTGCCCCATTGGCGTACTTCTGATCATCTTCGAGGCACGACCGGAAGTCATCGCCAACATCGCCTCCCTTGCAGTCAAGTCGGGCAACTCCGCCATCTTGAAAGGTGGAAAGGAGTCAACCGAATCTTTTGTAGCCATCTCCAAGGTCATCTCTGCTGCTCTGGACAAGACGAAAGTCCCCAACGGTGCCATTCAGCTCGTCACTACAAGAGACGTAATACCGCAGCTATTGGACTTGGATCGGTACATTGATCTTGTCATTCCCCGAGGTTCCAACGATCTGGTTCGATATATCAAGTCCTCCACCAAGATCCCTGTTCTTGGCCACGCGGATGGTCTATGCTCTATATTCCTTGAGCAATCTGCAGATCCAAAAATGGCAGCGGATGTGATTGTTGATTCCAAGACCAGCTACCCCGCCGCGTGTAACAGCTTAGAGACGCTGTTAGTTCAAGAGTCTGCTCTTGACACTGTTCTCCCTTCGGTGGCCGAAGCCCTGATTGCAAAAGGGGTCGTCCTACGCTGCGATGACAAGACTAAATCAGCGCTTGTTAAAAAGCTGTCTTCCGGTCTCTCGGCCAAACTCGAGGACGCCCAAGATGCCGACTTTGATACTGAGTTCCTTAGCCTCACCCTGGCCGTTAAGGCGGTTGCGGATATCCATGAAGCCATCGC